CCATGAGAAAAGCATTCTTATATCCAATTGATGCATAGGCCAGTTTTGAATGGCAGCCATACAAAAGAACAACCGGACAGAAGACATCTTAGCAACAGGAGAAAAAGTGCCAAATAATCTGTCCCATAGATCTGAGTGTATCCCTTGGCCACAAAAACGGGCTTTCAGCCGATCAACCTTACCATCTGGACCAACCTTTATAGTGTAAATCCATCGACAACCAACAATCAATGGCCCGAGGTAAGGAATTAACTCCCAAGTATGATTATGATGCAAAGCAGACATTTCTTCAACCATTGTCTGACGCCACCCGGGTGAGAAAGTGCCTCATGAACTTTCAAGGAACAGAAACAGAAGAAGGGTGGAGACAAAGGCATAATATGAAGGACATAAACTGATGAACTCAAAAAATTGTAGATGGGATGAGGTTTGCGTGTAGACCCACATACCTTTACGAATAGCAATGGGAAACTGATCAGCTGGAGACAGGACCGTGGCATTGGAGGAATCGAGCACAGGACCTGCAGGACAGGGATCTCAGGAACGGCAGCGGGAACATCAGGATCACCTGTAAAGGAACAAAAACTATTGTCGACAGGAAGAGTGGTATTAGTAGGAGCTAGGTATCGAAACAGACGAAGGTGGGAAAGCAACGTATGGAATAGGTAGAACATCTACACCGGATCAGACTCCACTGGAGGATGAGGAAAAAATGGAGAAGACTCAAAGAACGTACATCAGCAGAGATGAAGTAACAAGGTTTGGCAGAATACACTTGTAGCCCTTCTGAAACGTGAATCCCTAAAAAATACATTTCGAGACTTGGCTGACAGTTTATCCTGACCAGAGGGAAAATGTGAACAAAACGTGCTCCCAAAGACACGCGGGAAGAGAAATAATGGAGTATCAGGGAAATATGGAGTGTGGAAACCCGGTCTTGTAAAATAAAGAGGCATGCGATTTATTAGTAACAGGCGTTAGAACCGCATCAGCCCAAAACCGGAAAGGGACATGGCTATGTAAAGAAGAGTGCGAGCAGTTTCAATGAGGTGTCTATTTTTACGCTCAGCAATGCCATTCTGTTGGGACTATAAACACAAAAGACTGATGAAGAATCCCCTGAATGTCATGAATTTAGTAAGGAATCAGAAAATTCACGACATTATCACTTCGTAATATACGAATGGTAGTATTATGTTTGAGTCTTATTTCAGCACAAAATGATGAAAATATGGAAAATAATTCAGAACGAGAGCGCATAAGAATAACCAAGTGCAACGGGAATAGTCATCATAAATGTAACAAAATATTTAAATCCCAAGTAGTTAACACGACAAGGACCCCACACATCTGAATGCACTAACTCAAAGGGGACGCAGCCCTTTATTGACATGCTTTGGAAAAGATACGAGTATGCTTTCCACTGACACACTCACAACTCAAGGACGATTTAGATAGACCTGGGATCATTTTCCGAAGTTGGGAAAGACTAGGAGGCCCAAACGATTATGAAGGAGATCCAGAGACTCGAGACAATACGCTTAGATGGGATATGGAGATGATAGAGACCCTGTGACTCACGTCCTGTGCCAATCATCCGTCCCGTGTCGCGATCCTGTATAACACAGAGTCAGTATCAAAACGAATAGAGCAATTAAGGAGCGGTAAGTTTACTAACAGACACGAGATTATGGACATTTGGGAATATAAAGCACAAAGTCTAATGCTAAGGAGGGGGGTTTTGCACATCAAATAGCTTGAACATCGGCTTTAGACCATTGGCTAAAGTAACAGGAGATAAGATACGTATTTGTAATCTGAGTAAGTAAATGAGGGTTACCAGAAATATGATCCGAGGCACCTAATCTAGGACCCAAGGTCCTAAAGCGGAAGACTGGAAAGGCAGCAACTGAATACCCGTTTGAGCGACGGAGGCAATGGATGAGAACTGCTTACTGGCCTGATCCTGTAAGTATTCATCATAATCAGTACCTGTGAGAGTTAGGAGGGCTGAGATCACTGTAGAGGACTCAGAATGAAGATCAGAGTGATCAGCCTGAGTAATATTAGCAGCTCGGGTAGTCGACCATGTAACTTAAAACATTTCTCTCTAGTATGCCCCCACCGATGACAGTAACTACACTTGGGCCGATTTCCTCTGCCACTTCGATCACCTTGTTCTCGAAAAGTTTGGACTGAGAAACAAGGACTAAGAGTCACCTGGGAAGGTATAGTATTAGGGGAGGAAACCCGAAGTAATCTGGCAAACACTTCGTCAAGGAAAGGCACGGTGAATCCAGAAAGAATTTGATCTCGAACAGGTGTAAGTCGGACGACGAGCTGCAAGTGTCAGGACCATAAAGAACTTGTCCCGTTGAGCCAAATCTTCTGCCGCAAATTACCAGCTGGTAACAGCAGATTGAATTCTGTCTTAAGGGAAGCCGTCTTACCAAGGAAACGACATATTCATATCCTGTTGTTTTGAGATGAACTAAGTTGGACACAACAGATATAAACGTTGAATGTCATGTGTATAGAGAAGTTTAGTCTGACTCCAAATATCAACACACAAAGCGGTAAGATTTATAAATAGGGTGAAATGGGATCAATAGTTTGCCATAACATACTACACAGCATAGCATCACTTTTAGTCCAGGAAGACTTACTGACGTAATATCAACAGCTTTGTGGTCAAGTGATCCTCCAGACCTGTACCCATACACCATATCGACAGAGGCAGCCCATGATGAATAAGTAGCGTCCCATTAATCGCTCAGTGGTGATGGGAGGAAGAGATACAAAAGAAAAACCACTTAGATTCGAAGGAGAGGCTGTTTTTGAAGAATCCTGAAGTCTTGAAACTGACGGAAACACAGAAACTTACGCTTGCCGGAAAAACTGAACAGAGGAGGGCTGCTGGAAAAACGATCGGCTCGTGAGGGCGCGTGCAGTGGCGGCCGACGACGAAACCACTCGGGTTGGACGACGAGGAGAAGACAATCAGTCCGGTGTGATTGGACCAGATTCTGATCGTTGCCGGAGAACAGTCGCCAGAGAAACAATTGCCGAAAAAAAAAATCCGAGAAGGGAGAAAATTTTTGAAATTTCAGATACCAAGCTCTGATACCATGTGGAGAAATATTTTTCTTGTATTTCAATAAGATGTACATGAAGTTATAGCAAAAACAAAAAACTAATCTAGGAAGTAATCTAGGAAGTAAATTGTTACATTCCTATTATAATTCTATTTCCTATTCCTATTATAATTCTATTTCCTATATTACAATGAGAATAATTCTATTTCCTATATTACAAAAAGAATAATTCTATTTCCTATTTTACATTTCAACAGTATTAAGCACATGAGATAAAAGCAGCATAATTTTTCTAAAATACAGTTACTCTATACACCATCTTAAGCATGTCATTTCTTCAGTAAACTTTAATTCTTCTTCTTCTTTTTCTCTACCATATCTAACATATGAATATCATAAATATATAACCCCACCCATTATCAAATTTTTTGATCTGCCTGCCAGGCTAGTTAAAGTTATTCCAGTTATTAAGTTATAGCCAAAATTGGCATCCCAAACGGTTTAAATTAATATTGTTATTTTCATATAACTAAGAAAAGAAAAAGCAATTGACGAATAATTTGAGATAGGGTCAGAGAGTTCAATTTTCCAAGAAATTGGACCATATATCTATTCTATTTTATTATCACAAAATTCCCAAAAATATAATAGAATAATAATATATAAAAGCACAATATTATTTTTCCAGATAAACAATAAGCCAATATGAGACATCTCCCTCATTGTACTCCCCAGAAGGATCATGAAAATTTTTATTCACAATCACAAAGTAGATGAGAAAATCAAGCTCTTTCCCTTTTTGAGCTGCTTCCAATCACCTTTTTAAGAGTTTTAAGAATTGAAAGTTTTATTGAATTAATGTAAAGTCAAGATCACATCTCTTCTAGTATGAACATGTCCACTCAAAGGGCATCAATTTTCATTGACGTCACTCACTACTTTAACTGGAGGCTTTAATTGACTTTTTGAAGCCTTATAATCCTACAGCATGACCATCAAAGCTGCAATCTGTATTGCAAATCAAACCAAATCACATTTTGACTCTGATAACTGACACCATCATCCACACAAGAATGACACTTAACTCAATGACCAGATTGCAACAATTACATACAAGGGCAAATCTTTGAGCTGTTAAACAGCCAAGAACCTTTAAAAAAAAAAAAAGAAAAATCTAGAAGGATCAACAGTCTCATAAAACCTAACAAACGGAATAACGCATATCTTCAATTTGAAAGGTCATGCATTACAAGTATTTGAAGCATAAGACAAGAAAGAAGACATGTAGCTCTATTCAGACATCAGATTCGCAAGTTGCAACCCAAGACAATTTTCTCAAACTCTGATTCTTAAAAATAAATATGACAAGAAAATTTAAACATCACTAGTCATCAAATTCTATTGACCATGTGAAGAAGTATTCGACAGATTCAATGGAGAAGGGCAGAAAGCCACCAACTGAATGCCATAGCATAAACACTATATGGATACTCAACTTCACCCCCTGGAGCTACTGATTATTTGTGTTACTGACAAGAATAAAAGCATTTTCATAACAATAATATGCTGCTTGAAGCTTGCATCAAATGATAAGAACAGGATGAATGGCCATTAAACAAAAGAAAAACATGTAACATTATGATGACTGATGTCTATAAATCTTACTGGAGAACTTAATGCATGAGAAAGCAGTGGTGACAGCAAACCTAAAAAGTTAACTCCTCAGTAAATACATATATTATCAGCAACGGGATCATTGGATTAACAACCTCTACAAGTGAGATGAAACTCCGAGAAAATATGGTTGTCAAAGCTGATACTATGTTCAGTTATCAACTACTTGGAGGATACCAGAAAATTACCAGCACAATGAACTGGAAAAAGAAAAGCTTACGGAGAAAATACCTGATCAAAATCCACCAAGAGGAGCCTGCCCACTCCTGATCTCAAAAGCATAGAAGCAGCATGACTCCCAACCCCTCCAAGACCAATGACAACAACATATGATCCAGTCACTTTCTGTTGAGACTCAAGGCCAAAGAATTGAATATTCCTAATATTGAAAAAATAATAACAACTTACTATCATGCTAAAAATACTAGCTTGGAATTAAAATTACATCAGTTTCAAAAGGATCTTTCAAGCCAAATTCAAGCAACATAAAATTTGTCTGCGTAGAGAACTTTCAAAAGTATGAACTACATAATAATAAAAGCAGAAATTTCTCAGGTCTCTGACAAAAATTTCTAAAGATTTTATTCACATACCAATTTCTTCAGTATTGAAGAAATGTGAAACTAGGTTCACACAAACATTTTAATGTCTAACACACACAAGAACCTAAAACTAAACTCCTGAATATTCAATGGTGGCATATCAATTTCTTTTGATATCATTAGAAGAATTGACGTATGAAATTATAGGCATGGTATAGAGTTCATCAAGTATTTTGCTTAGCTAAGTCCATTAAAGTTTATTTAGTTTTATTTTACTGCTAAAGTTTGTTACAATAAGGTCATGGCCTCTATATATAAACGTTTTAGTTGTTTTCTTTTCGGACTTGAAATATGAACAGATTAATGAATATCAATAATACTTTGGGTACTAATGGATGAGTACTAATATGTGTACTAACTAAAGCATAGTACCCATACTATGCACATAGTACGGGTACTATGCTTTTGTTAGTACACATATTAGTACTCATCCATTAGTACCCATAGCATCACTCAATGAATATTGGCTATCTCCACAAGTTTCTCTGTTTCTTCCCTAATTCTTTTGAATTTGCCGTATCTCCACTATTACCAGATTTCCTCCATGCTTCTTATTTATATCCTTCCAGTTTCCCATCAAGAATAGCTGGGTAATTAAGCATTAAATAAAATTATCTAATCTTATCCAATAACTATTTCGTTTCCATGGAAAACCAAAGTTGGTACCAAAACCCAGATATAGAGGCTAAAAGTGAGATGTCTCCAGCAACTAATAAAGCAGTTTTGATTGCATTCTTATACTTAAAATAAATTCATCTTTAGTGTCATTTTTAGTAGGTTTGACACTAACAAAACGGCAGAGACAACCATAATTAAGAAAAGAAATAAAAAGCACCTGGTCAGTTGTTCAGAAACTATTTCATCTTTAAGAAGATCTAAACTCGGCATTCCACCCTTCATCGTGCAACAGTCAATTGGTGTATTAGATACAAGTTCTTTACCTGCTAAAAGCTATCTTTAGAAGAATAGAATAAACATTCAGGTTAAGAGTTTGAGATGCCATCAATTACCTATCCACAAAAAGCTTCATATTTTTGAAATCCACAAACATATTTAAATAAAAATAATAATAATAATAATAATAATGCTGGCATTAGATGTTTTCAGTGTCTTCAAAAATATGATTCTAAAAACACACAAAAACAAAAAATTATCTTCTGTTGCTCCAAATCACAAACACCGAAAGTACTATCATTGTTTTTGTTCTCAAAGTATTGTTTTCGAATTATCCTATCAGGCACCTTCTTAATATTTTGTTTTTCCTTTTTTTCATTTCATGGAACAATTTTTCCAAAAACGATTCTGCACAACAATACCCAAACGGATAGTTGAGGGAAGAAAAAACAGTAATCTCACTTGTCGTTGTATAGTTAAACAAGAAGAATAGCAATAATTTAAGACTTAAGAAATTACCATTCAATTCAACAGCTTTTTCAGAGCTTGAGTGCACCATATTTCTGCAATCAAAAATCACACTTTACAGTCTATTCTAATTATAAAAGAGATTAATAAACTACATGATAATCAATCAATTTAGCAATGAAAATATAAAGAAATTAGTTTTACCTTGAAAGAATTTTATACAGAAAGACGGTTGAAACGGATCCCAAAAGAGCCCCAGCTCCTACCAATGCTAAGCACTTCACTTTCTCCTCCATTTTCCCTTCTCTTTCTACCCTCCCGAACGCACCTGGATTGAGCCCGGCGCGGGTTCTGTTTGAATTTTACTTCAGAAAAACCTTAAACCCGTAGATTCCAAAAGTTCAAGTGCGCATTGTGAGATAATTACATCTGAATCCTGTAAGTTTCATGATATAAGTACAGAGGAACCTTTAATACCATTCCGTTAAAATCCCTCAATAAAAAAACACTATTAAATTTAAAGGGTTATTTCAATAAACCCTCCAGGAGGTGTTGTTCACTTGTTTGGTTGGGGTTATCTCGTTACTATGCAATACCGATTTATATTATTTAGATTATCATGTTTGGTTATTAAGTAATATCATATTTCAATAATTTTTTTAAATTAATAATAATTACTATTGATTGTATAAGAGATAATCAGAATACTATCATTTTCTTATGTATTTTATATTTTTGTTACAAGTTTACTCATCCTTATTAAAATTTTTAGACAATACTACTCCTATTTTGAAAACAATTTACAAATATATTCATAGACTATTTTATCTTTATATACAAAATTTTTAGAACATAAATACCCTTGAACTTGAACAAAATTATCAAAGACTGGTTATCGAATCTAGCCACTACCATCGACCATCGATGCCAGAACAACGCTTACGGCTTCTGGTCATTGTCAACAAACAATAGCCAGAACTATGGCCGTAAATATGATTTTTTTCATATCAATAAAAGGTTCATGTTTGTGAAAAGTTCTTATTATTAATGATGGCTAGATTAAGCACAAAGGTCTATGATCGAAAATAAATGAAATAGTGAATATAACGAGATTGATTTTTTGTATATTCTTACAAACATTAGGAATTGGACACTTGGGTTATACTAATTTATAAGGTTATTAATTTTGCTTATATATAATACATATTATTAAAAAGTTCATGTTTATGAAATGTTCAATTGGGATAATATGATAATAGTTGGTTATCAATTTTATTTTATATTACCGTATGTTTAATTATTATGTTCATTATTGTATAAAATTGATATAGTATGATCTTTAGCGTTATGGTTAGTGACGTAGCCAAAATTTTGTCCAAGTGGAGACAAGTCATAAGAAAAAAATTTCAATTATCATCATCCATGAAAATTTGTTAATAAAATCTTCATAGATAAAATTATTTATTTTTATGTGTGTTATTGATGACAAAAATTAATTTAGAATTTAAAAATAGTAATTACAGTGTTATTTAAAGAATACTAGATATCATGTGACATATGTTTATCCTAATATTTTCAAGTTTTTTTTTTTTTTTTTTTTCCCAAAAAGCTTTTTACTAGAAAAAAATACTTTCAAATTAATATATGTGCAACAAAATTATTATTAATCCATTAATCCCAAATCTTTACTTTGTGCTTAGATCTTAGTAAATGAAAATAAACCAAAATATATTATTTATAATTTCAAAAATAATTAAATAATTCATACTACTATTTGAATAGTTTAAGATAAATTAGGTCAAAAGAGTGAAAAAATTAGTTTGATAATCATAATATGTAAGCATGAGCCCCTACTCAACCCTTAATTTGTTATTGTATGAAGTACTTTAATATATATCCAGCAAATATTATACTCAATTGACGTCTGTTACTATTGATATTTCTTCAACATAACTCACACCGGTTATTTTTGAAGTTACAATAATATTAAAGTAGCACTAAGATATTTCAATAACTACTAAAATAATATAATTAGTTTAATTAATTGAATATTTATTACATAAATAGACACTTTTATAGATATGTAATCATTAATATTGTTTATCATAATGCTTAACAAATAATAATTTTGATTGGTTTTTAAATACTAAATAATTTTCATTAAACTTTGCTCTTAATTAGCCAATTATCTAAACAATGTTTAAGTAGTTAATTAATATATTAAAAAATCATAAATGGCCTAAAGCAATTTGAATAGCCATTGCTTGTGGGAAACAATGACCTGGGCAGATGCTCATGCTACAGGGATTCTCTTAAATTGGAAGATATTAATTACATTTATCTTCCTGTATGCCACGTGTCCTACCACTTGTTCACTCATATTAACATATTTGGGCTTTGTTCCCGTTGGGTAGACTTCACAAGTGGCCCAAATCTCCAATCCAACCCATTTTCAATATTATTTTAATTCATTCTAGACCGTTGATCATATATTTTAGGGGAAGTGATTCTAGCCTCTTATCAAACTGATTAGTATCCTCCTGTTTTAAATGTATTATGTTTCGACAAGTTTTTTTTTTTTTTTTTTTTTTTGGTACTGTTTGAGCCAGTTTACGCGTACTTCAACTAATCTCTATGGTTCATTGAATACCCTACAAACCCAATGAACCGGATAAGACACAATTATACATTGAAGTAAGTGGCTGCAAGATTTGAACCCAAAAAGTCAAAGAAGGGAACACACCTCTTTGACTATCAGGTCAATCCCTTGGATTATGTTTCGATAAGTTTTACCTTAATGACATGATAATTTCTAAATACTCTCGTTGTCTATTTCATATTTTTTTGTTTTAATTTTTAACCTTTAATTCTTACATAAACCTTAAATCTAAATTTTCTATATAATTGAAACATTTTTTTTTTTTTATTTGATGGAAATATATGATTAAAGCCATGGAAAAAGTAGTCACACAATTGGATGAATTTGAACTTGAAGAAGAAAAAAGTAAGTTTCAAGTTTGAAATTGAGAAAAAGGGGAATAAACAAAAGCCTAATTAAGTTTGAAATTGGGTAAAATCAATGTAAATGAAACCTTAATTAAGTTTGAAATTTAGGAGAATGATATAATAAAAAACTCTAATTAAGTTTGAAATTGAAGGAAAATGGTGCAAATAAAAACCCTAATTAAGCCGGGCTACTTTCAATATTAATTGAGATTTAAATATCATAATGCTAACATGAACATACTAAACATAAGATAATACTACTAACAATACAACTTGATCCTACACGCATACAGATAGAATTACGTCTATGGAGTTACTATCAATTATGTCATGATTGTAAAATAAAAAGTAAAAAATAGATTTGGGGTCTTAAATCAGGAAGAAAAAGGTAATAATAAATAGGAGCTAATCCTATGATTATTAAGTCTAACTTTGGCAGATTTGAGATTAATTTTGGATTTTGGTTGGTGGGAGAGTCAAAGTGACAGGTGCATTTGACAAGGTTACAAAGCAGATTAATTAAGAAAGCTAAATATTTTAGCTAAAGATAATGGTATAATATAAAAACCAATGACATATTGTTAATAATGTCAATTACAGATTAGTGCGTAGATAACCTAATTCTCCATATATACTGATAAGAAAAGTTTGTGTTACATTATTTTATTTGTCATGGTTTATAGCCACGAGTTTGTGTTTGGATTATACATATTCAAAACCTTTGCAGTGCAGCAATTGATAAATGACTCACTTGAGTGGGTTAGGACATAAGCAAGTTATTGTGTGGTTGTGGTTTGTACTTATATATATTGCTTTAAACTGGGTGATCAATGATCTCTTATCTCAAGTCTCAACATTCCAAGTGTGATCCAGTTGGGTGTTTTGGCTCTGGGTCACTATCACTAATAGTATAACATATAATTAAGAGGGTGTTTGTTTGACCTTATCAACAATAAGTATTTATAAGCTGTATTTAAAATTTTAAGTAATTACGTGTTTGGTTAAAGTACTTATAAGTAATTGATAAGTAGTTAACGTGTTTGGTAAAATATGGCTTATAAGTACATTTTATTATAAAATGACTAAAAAGCGTATTACATTAAACAATGATATACTATGAAATTTTAAAATTAAACAAAGATAATGCAGTAATATACTTGATTAAACTAGCTTAAACTTATAAACTCAAAAAAGTTATAAACAAACAAGTTAGCTTAATTTTAGAATTTATAAACTAGTTTGTAAGCTTAAACAAACACCCTCTAAGTAAGGATTAAGGAATTTTCTAATTCAACAACCGACCTTGCATCATGCATGCAATGTTTAATGTTATGTACCTACTAAATTCCACTATCCTTACATTTCTTATGAAAATAATGCCTCCACCCTTAGGCCAACCTCAACTTTTAATTGTATAGACTATAGAGCTACCACATATGCTGCATATAGTTATTGACTGCTTATAATTAATACACACAACACTTAAACCTACATTTTATTATAAGATTACGCTCAGCGTGGTGGCGGACCTACATACATGAGAAGGGGGCGTAACGAAACCCATTAATTTCATAATCAATTACATTCCCTTATTACATGTTTGAAAATATTGTATTATCTTATATCTCAATTATTTATTTTTATATCATAAACAAATTTATCTTTTGTTTTCTATTTTAATTTGTTAAACTATTATCAGTTTAATAATATAATTTAAATAAAATGTTGTTAAAGATTTTCAAGGGACCTATCCATAATTATAATTTAGTTTTCACTTTTGTTTTTTTACTATTATTATTCGGTGCATAAATTTAGTACGCTACTTTCAGTAATTGTATCATTTTCCTAGAATTAATTATTAAAATATCAAAAATTACCAGGAAAAAAAAATTAAGATTCATGTTTCTAGGAAATTTATAAGATGATATTTTTTAACACGTAATGTTATTTAAATATTAAAATTTGTATGGTGTCCCCTCTCACATAAATTATTAGGTCGGCTACTGATTACACTATTTATAAATAGATGACTGCCCTATCATAAGAATAATCTAATATTAATATATGGGACAGATTAAATTAATAATATCAACCTTTTCTTCAAAAGAATCATATATAACACAAATTTTGAATGATGCTATTAATAACCAAATATAATAAAAATAGAGAATATGTTATATGTGTGGTGAATTCTAAGGATAACGTCTCAATCATAGTTGAGGAAATCAGGAACAGCAGTGGGGTATAAGTAATCTAGCGTGACAGATGCACCAATAAATACATTATTAAAATAGATAGACTATCCAATTTAATGCTCTCCGGATATTGTAGGGTCGTTTGGTTTGTTATTTTGTATAGGGTTTTG